GATCAGCTGCTAGCTTGAAACCTAGACCACAGAAATTAAACAGAAATCAGAACATATTAACCACATACGTGCAATATTCACATTTCAGGATTAATGCAATTAAAGCAGTAGTCTTGCCTGTGTACGTGGAATGACAAACTACTATTCAATAAATGCAACATTTCAAGGGAAAACTCCTCAGGTTAATTTATTGGAGCTTTGTTATGTTACACAGCGTAGTTATTTTATGCAATTGATTTGAAAGAGGTCATGTTGGAAAATTCCTTGACAGTTAACCTTCAGAGTAGCAGTTGTAAGGTTTTAACACTGAACTTGGATTTTCTGTATGATGACAGTGAATGTTATTAAGGTATTCTAATGGTAAGTGAAGCAGGCCTGTACGGATGTGAAAAACTGTCTTAGTATTAGTGATTTGCCTGAAAGTTAGGCATCAGTCTACTACTTCTGTGATTGAAAATATGCATCCTTTTTTTTTTCAGGTTCATAACTACACACACCACCCCCTCCTCCCCCAAACACAGCATAGTATGTTTTATTAGTATATTTAGTGACTACTGAAGAAGAACCTTTTAGAAAGTATTGCCTTTATGAAAGATTAAGTAAGTTATTTTTTGGCTTCATTTTTTAACAGTGTACAATACTACAAGCTTAAAATCTCCAACACCTTCTCTGAAATGGACTTCTTGTTAAATACAACATATAGTTATTGTCTAATATTAGGTACCTATATTGTAATTTCAAGAACAATGTTGTCCAGTTAACTACTTTTATCTTCTTTGACTTTCTCTTTCTGGCATGCAAAATTCAAAGTAGATGCTCTTGCATTGGTATATATAAAATCTCTCCAGCAGAGCATACCTACATACATACTTTATATGATACGTATAATGTCCGTATCCGTATCATACTTCGTATTACATGTATTGAGCATTTCCTTGTTTATCTATGGAAACAGCTGTTATTAAAAAAAATCTGTTTCCTCTTCAGTAGAAATCATGAGCTTCTGAAAGAAAAAAAAACAAAGCAAAACCCAAACAAAACACCAAACCAAAATAAAAATATTTTGGTAATGATGGTAGTTGATTAGACTTATCTAAATTTCAGTTTAATTCATTATTTAAGATCACTCATGATATAGGAGACATTTTCATGATCCATGAGTGTAGATATTTTCATGATTGGTCAGTCAGGGAAGACAGTTTGTCTGTTGAAGACATTATGACCTCCTTCATTTGCAGTTCCTGAATTCCTTATCTTAGGTGTCCAGATAGAGATAGGATTTCATGAAATTCTGGAAGTATTTACCAGGCAGTGAGCAGGAAAGGTTTGGCCATGTTTTGAGTTCTTCTGTAATGGCCAGGTGACCAGTGTTTTGTGAAGAAGGTAAAACCAGCTTCATTAGACTGAGTAGCTTGCTTAAAAGAAAAAAAGCCAACCAAAACCCAGATTTTTTACTCCCTAATATCACTTAATCGGAGGTCATACAGAGTAATCTTGTAACTTGGATATCATAATTAAGTGGTATTTCTGACAGAAATGATTGTTTGGTGTTATGACTTTTTTCCCCAGTTTTGAATGATCACACCGACAATATGTTACTTTCCTCTTTTCCCAATACTTAGAGGAAATGCAAACAGAAATAGGAAAATAAGGCTGGAAAAGTAAGATGATACTGGGTATTTTTGATGAACACTGTAATTAGGTTAAAAGATGAAGTTAATTTGTTCGTCTTTCAAAGATTCTTTGTATTTTATTGTTTGAGGAATTTGATCAAATATGCATCACTTTTTCTGAAGCTGTACTGAAATCAAAATAAGCCTTTATCAGTATAGGCTCATACCTAAGAGTTTTGAGGTGAACACTGAATCCCGTTATGCTGTTTAAAACATGCGTAAAATAGCATATAATCTGTGTGGGAGACTAATCCTTCATTAATCATACTTGGTTTTTAGTTGCTGCTTATTTTTAATCACTAATTATTAAGAAAAGAACAAGGCAACAACCTGTGGAAACTTGACACGATTACTCATCTCATGAGCTGTAATCTCTTTAGTTTCTCTATTCGGTAGTAAAAGCAATATTAAGCTTAAAAACCCACTAGCTTTCAATCTTTCTAGATAAAAAAAAAACCCAAAACTTCCTTATTCTAGATAACTATAACTTACTGCTTAGATTCACTTTTTTTTTTCTCTCCTTTTCTCCCGTTTAGTAGAATAGTACCTGTCTGTGTGTAACAAATTTGAAGCTTTCTGTAAATGTTCATCTATTTTACTTGAGAATTGGCTTCAGAGATGTATTGCCTGAAACAGTGGTTTCCTGTTTTCAGAAATGCCCATTAATTTTGCGTTTATGAGAGATTTTTTTTGTGTGGTTCAGAGCCTGGTTGTGATAGGAGCTTACGCATGTAATTTCTAATTAGAGAGACAAAAGGTTTTTGAAGAGCAAGTGCTAGGACTTGCAAGGACTAGAACCAATGTCCAAATCTGAGGATGCCCAAAATATAAGGTTTGCTGGTCAGTGTCCTTTGATACGGCAGTTGCTTGTGTTATCAAAGGTAATTTAGGGTAAGTAGATCTCCATTTCTGGAGTCCATAGAATCATATTATGGATTAGTTTTGAAGGGACCTTTGAAGTTCATCTAGTCCAACACCCCTGCATTGGGTAGGGCCATTGTCAACTAGACCAGGTTACTCAGAGCAACCTGACCTTGAATGTTTCTGGAGATGGGGCATTGATCACCTCTGTGGGCAACCTGTGCCAGTGTCTTACCACCTTCATCATAAAAAAATCATCTTCTTTAGATCTAGTATGATTCAACCCTCTTTTAGCTTAAAACCATTACCCCTTGTCCTATCACAACAGGCCCTATTAAGAAATCTGTCCCCATCCTTCTTACAGGACTCATTTAAGTACTGACAGGCCACAAATGTCCTTTTTTATTTCAATCTTCATATTCTTAGTAAGCAAGCTTTACAGGTATTCTAGTTTTCTTTGGATATGCCACGTTAATGTGCTTTGATGTCTTTTTATTACAAACTTAATTGAAAAAAAAAAACCACAGAAAAAGCGTAATAATACAGGAAAACTTAAATCTGGCCTGTAAACAGAACATGAATGTAGTGACTTATATCTGTCTTCACTCTGGGAACATACCTTAAATTTTCTTACTGTTTTTCATTTTAAAGCAAATGTGAAACGATATCCTGATACATGTAGCTGCTAGTGTAAAATGACTAATACTGCTGTTATTTGTACCATTTCCACAATTCTGCAGTACTGTTAATGTAAATATAATTTTGTTGTTGTTATATTTTTAACCATAACAGAGCACTCAATTCTTTTGGACACACATTTTGCCTATTCAGGTGTCTAAAATCCTGAGTATTTCTGTACTATAAATTATAATCTTATTGTTTCCACATATTCTGAAGATATTTAGGAAAATACCTAGATTTAAACATCACTCTTAAATTTATTTAGCTGCCATATGATAGAATTGGTATTAAAAAGGCATTTATATCATAGTCATATGTAACTCATTTTTGAGGAAAAGGCTGGTGTTATGAGCTTTTTACTCCTACTTCAATTTTATGAATGCAATGTTGCATCTGTTCTGAATAGTGTCACGTGTTGGTTTTAAATCTAGTGTTCACGGAAGTGCTAGTTACCTATTAAGATAAAGTAGGAAGTTTTGAATGAAGATATTAAAGGTTGTAAAAATTCAGGTCTCTATGCCATATAGTATAATAATTTTTTAGACAATATATTTATCTTATGGGAATAATAAATGAGAAAATTATGAATGCTCTCATAACAAAAAACAAAAAAAAGTGGAATATTGCAGTTATTTTTGCACATTACTATCAGCTCTACAGTGTATTTTGGCTTTAGAACAGTCAGGTAGTCTGGACACGTATCCATTCTTCTTAAGAGATCATACAGGAAGAGGCTGACATTCTTAGTAGCAGAAGAGCTTTGATATGCTGATGAACTGTAGAGAAAATACACTTTATCTCTGGGGTTTTGAGTTATCTTTAGTATGCTAGCTTTGGAACTACTTGCCTTTCTTTCTCTTTAATGCAGCATTGACAAACTCTAAGATAGGCAAAACTGTTATTTTCCTAGTTCATCCAGGCATCATTGCCACTGTAGCGGTTTCCGTGAAGAGACACTGTGCATTTTATTGGAGTACTGGTGCAGAATCCCTCCTTTCAGCACCAAGTCACATCTTAGGTTTGTTTTGCTGAAAGTCTTGGCAGAAAATGTCACTTTCATTGCATTATGAATGCAGCTTTTTTTACTACCAGACAGACTTTTTTCTTTTTAAATATTTACCACCTTTTGACCTGCAGGACACTATTGTAACTGGAACACTTGATGGGCAGCGTGATTCACATTTTTCTGTTCCTACACACGCATAGTGGATGCTGCTTCATGGGTGGCTTAACCCTCCCCTTACCCACATGCTGTTCTTGACCACATACATATTCCTTACTTTTTTAATTTTATTGGTTCTGGTAATCATGAATCTGGTTGATCCAACTGAAAGTGAAGCCAGGGGTCCAGGGAGAAATCTACTGAATCAGCAGATAGGGTTCTGTTGATTCAGATTACAGTCAAGTTGGTTTAACCCAGTAGTGATGCTGCAAAGTGATATTTGAAAGGATGGTGACATTTATGTATAACCTTTAATCTGTTTAGTCAACACTGAAGAGATCTTTAAGGTAATAAGTTTACATGTTAATATTCTGCTGACCTGAGTTAGAACAGCTAAATGTTAACTGTTCTTTTTCTTTCAAGTTTCACTTAAGTATTTTAGTATTTCTCTTTCCTTGTTGCTCCTTACATTACTTTGACATAAAAATACAGGTACTAGTTAAGCAGGAAAAGTGGAAACTCACTAGAATTGTTGAACAATTCATGTAAATCCTGCATGTGGATAGAATTAGATACGACATCAAGGACAGTTTTAATGGTAATATTATGTCTTCCTTTAACAGTGGAAATGGTAGCTCGTCCACACCAGTGAAAGATCCACTTGGGATCCTAGAAGGCATCATCTCTGCAGTGCATGCAAGCGTTGAGAAAGGGTAAGAACTTCCTTTGTGGATTCTTTGGTTAGGACTTTGAAAGATACTTCTCATGAAAACATTGAAGGTACGATACTGAATATGGATGATTTTTCTCCATGGGTATGTATAATGTGTTTGCACTTAATTTTGTAAGACTTTATTCTGGAACAGTCTATCATTTATCAGGTTCAAAACCTGAGCCCTGGCAGAAGCCTTTACTTGATCATTTAGAAGAAAGCAAGTCACTGAACCTAAAATTTAGGTTATCATGTATTATGGTGATTGGAGAAAATGTTTTTTCTGCTGTGACTACTTAGCTTGTGTATCTACCAGGAGTATTTCACTGCTTTTGTTTCAGTTTAGTAGATAAGTTACAAATAATAGTGACTCACTTTCAAATACCTTCATTTAGATATCTAAATTTGTTAAGATTTGTAGTGTATAGTGCAGAAACAATTTCACAAATGCTATACGATGCTTCACCACATTTTTTTTTGTTGTCTTTTGGGGATGTCCTTATTTCAGGTCGTATAATGGTCTGTATGTCTCACCGACATTTTCTGGAATTTCTGGTAAAGAGAAGGATTAAAAAAAAAAAAAACCAAAAAAAAACCCCAGTTTTATTTCCAGACTTGCAGAGTAACTCATGTATGATAAAAAAAGCTCATGCTCTCTGGCAGCCACATAAAAACAATCATGCTATTGTTTGGAGGCTTCTCCACTGACACTAAATTAGATAAATACTGGATACTGAACTAGACTGACTTGATGTCAAAATCAACTGTAAATCTCATTTGCAATGTTGTAAGGTAGAATGTGAGAGTTGGTACTATTTTATTCTGAGATGCACTTTCTGGAGTCTTTTATGTGCATACTTCAACATTTAAGTGCTGAAACAGTAAGCTGGAGTGAAAGTCATGGTGATTACAAGGGATTGTTTACATTCATTTAAATACTTGTTCTTATTTATCACCTTAAACCTCAGCTATTGAATTTACAAAGTATAAATCTTTCCCTCAGGAAAACATACATAAACATCAAGTGTGAGCTCTCAAAATCTCTTGAAATATTCCAGCAGATCCTCTTAATTCCCAGACTTTTAATTTACAGTTGTAATGCCACCTGTTCAGTAGAAGCATGACTAATTTAGCTGAAGTTCTGGGCTAACAGTGTCATTCAGACAATATAAAGCCTAAGTAAAATTGAAATCCTTGTAATATGAAAACCGAAGCTGTCAGTGTTTATTATTTCAGAGCTGCAAGACAGGTTAAATTGGTGTTTTCTGTCTGATACTACTTTCCCGTCTGTCTTGTTAAGACAAATAAGGGAACATTAGTTACAAATTACACTCCACCTGGAACCACTTTCTTGATATTTTTTTTTCCCCAGAGAAAAAAAAAATTGCTTTAGATTTAAAATACTATTGAAAGGTAGGAGAATAGCATTTACTAATTTGTTATGTGCTAGTTTATAGCCTCTAAGGGACATAACAGATTATTCTGTCTGCAGCTGCTAGCTGGTTGATGATTCCATGGTAATCTGTGTACTGTAAGTGCTTGCACACAGTTAGAATGTATTCAATATAACATACTATTTGAACCAAATAATTAAAATTTTTTCTAATTAGCCAAGTCAGAAAAATCCACTAATTTGTATATGTGGAGTGTAAAGAAGGGACTTGTAAAGAAAGAAAGAGAATATAGGACATAATATATGATGAATAAGCATCAGATACAAAAATGTCATACTTAAAATGCAAGCATTCAAGATGGTTTTCCATAAACTTGGATGGCATGGAAGCATGGGCATCAGTCAGGACTAGACACCATAAAAAGGCTTGGATTTTCAGGTGCCAAAATTCTTCACCATTATCATACAACTGGCAGACAATGTAGTATGTGGGAGAATATGTAACTGTACAGATGGATTTCTATGGGATTACATGGTTATTTGATGTTCAAAACTTGCACCACTTAGTTTTAGGCATCTCATTTATGAGGGCTAGTTTCTCTGCACTCTCACAGAGGCAAGTTCTTCCACTTCCGGTGTTACGTATTGGTTATATAGTGAATGTACTTGGTAATAGCTTTGAAAATACATGTAGGACTTTCATCAGGATTACTAAAGACCGTTTAACACAGTATTGTTTAATTACAGGAAGAAAGTAGTTTCTTCAGATGACCTCCTGGAGTGGTTGAGACCTTTCTGTGGTGATGACTCTTTAGCAGTCAAGCCTCGCATCAGAGTATTGCAAATTCTGGAGCAAGCCTTCCAGCTCAGTGATGAGGATAGCAAGCTACTTGTGTACTTCAGGACTCAAGCTGTTCTTAGAGCTTGCTGGCCTGAAAAAAAGGTATTAATATCGATTGCTATAAATTACAGTTTAAGACTGGTTTTATGCAAGAGTTATAAAATGAAGTGCTGGTTTGCAGTATATGGTCATGATGCATGCTGTTGGTATGGGAACTAATTCTACCTTTCTTTTGAATCATTCTGATTCTTTGAAAAACAAATCTGTGTAAAGTTAACAGATTCCTCAGCCTTTTTTGGGATCAGGAGTACATAATACCAAACTTGATTAAACACTAATGATTTTCCTCCATGTCAAGCATTAACTTTGAAGTGTTTGTATATTCTTTCTTTTCTGACATTTTTTCCTGTCAATTTTACTTTCTCTCTTTATCTTGTACTTGGTGTGATACTATAGTCAGAATTAGAATGAGAATTACTGACCATTGCCTTCTTTTTTTTTTTTCCCTCTGGGATCTTTAGTTGTTATTTCATGAATGTGTAGTAGGAATATTAAGGATATTCTCAAATGGAAAGACTTAATAGACAGGGAGTGCTTTCAGTCATAGTCTGCTGTGGTGTCCTAAGAAGCAGCATCTAACAACTGAAAGATAGTAGTTGCTTAAAAACAGTTCATACATTTAACTGTCCAAGTGATAGTTTTAAGTTTCAGTGTAAAGTCAGGGGAAAAAAATAAGGTAAAATAATTGGTGGAAGAAGTTACTTGTAGGTATTTTTTTGTTTTCATCTAAAAGAGACAGAGTTCTGATTTTTCAGGACTAAAACAGATTAACTTTCCTTCGAAATTAAACAGTGACAAAATGCCTAACTTCCATTTTTTTAAGTATATGTAGAATTTGATCTAAGACTGATAAGGATCATCTAGTGAATATTCTCAGGAGTGAAAATGCTTGAGTTTGTCAAGTAGAATATTAAAAATTCTGTATATACAAAAAGGCTCTTGGTTATTCATTAATATTTTAACTGCTTTATTTCACAACTTATTTTGGTGAAGTGGTTAATATATATTGTAATAAATAATAATAAATATTTTAGAGGTTCTGCATTTTTGACTACAATGTAAATATACTAAAGGCTTAACAGGAAGAAGTAGTCTTGTCTTTGAAACTTGTGTGCCATTTTTAAATCATGAGTATCACTTGCTGCATGTAGAATTACTCAGGAACAGAGTTACTTTTCATCCATTTTCTAAATACCTTCCCCCACCTTATGGAACTAAAACAGAATATTTCTAATAGTTCCTCAAAAAATCTATGCATGAAAACATTTTATATTCATATAAAACAAAAGCAATATATCAGTTCTGACTCACTGTGCTAAGATCATTCAAGGGAATAACCCTAATAAAATCTTAAAAGGAACAGAAAATGCTTATCTCTTGTTTTCTTTAGAAATTACTTTTTCTCTTGCATTCACAGTAATACAAGCACTTAACTCCTCAACTACTCTTCAGGTGTCCCTCTGATTGGATTCTTCAATTCAGTCCTTTGTCAATATTTGTGTTGCCTGTGACCTGCTTTCCAATCTAAAAGCAGTTCCAAGTCTAAAAGATGCAACTAGAGTAAGTTTTAAGAAAAAAGTTACAGGTAGTAATAGCTTTCACCCATGTCTGTAGAAGACAGAAAAAGCAGCTGTATTCGTGAGAAACCTTGTGAGACTCATTACACTTGTTTGAGAAATATATAAGATCACTTTTGATTTTCTCTCATAATGTGGTAAGTCAAAATGTATGTAACTTTACAACATGAAACTCACACCCATTTGCTTTGTCTCGTGATATTTGAAAAATTGAGTGCATTGCATATGCTGCTGGCTCATGTGGCTCACTGCCCAGCAGGACTCCCAAGGCCCTCTCAGAGACCTGCTCCACAGCCTGGCTGTCCTGACTTCTGCTGTCCTAGATGCAGCATGGCTATTAAACCTCATATGATTCTTGTTGGCCCCATCTTCCAGCCTGTTTAGATCTATCCATATAATCAGTTAATAATTTCTGTTCCCTGAAGTAGTGGTTTTTTGAAATACTCCTAAGTTCAACCAGGAAATTATACCTGTTTTTTTGTGAGGGAAGAATGCCTCTAGTCTCTAGGGGGTGGGGAAATACTCCCGGGGAGGGGGGGAAGTTCCCCTACCAGCCATCCATTTGCTCCTAACACAGACTGGCTGATCACTTCAGTGCTCTGCTCTTTTGCTGTTGAGTAAGCAGGTAGTGCATGAAGCCATGTAGCTTAACTACTGTGATAGATAAGTTCAAAAATTTCAGAGCTAATTGTATAAAAATGTGTATACAATACTGTAATATAAAAGTCTCTTAAAATGGTGTTTATTATTTAGCTAAGTTTAGAGATTGTTTTCTTGCTTAGCAATAGTGAAGGCTGTGCTTGTATGTACATGTATGAAAAACGTTGGGGTTTCACCCAAATTGCTGCTTACGAGTGCTAAAAATTGCTGCTGGGAGTCCTGTTGGAACATATTTAGAGATTATTCTAATTTTCATGTCAGTTCAAGCTAATGTGATAGATGAGAACCTTTTGTTTTCATTGAATATTGTGTGCTAGTGATTGTACATTGAATAATTTTTGCCGTGATTTATACAGAAGAGTCACATTGGTTTGTCCATTAGGTACCAATCACTGAAATTCAGAGTTATTCACAAATACCCAAGGAAACAAATAAGTGATCCACTGCTTAGACTGTATTTTACTTTTTTTTTTCCTCTTCTAGTCAGCTGATGTTTTGATATTTACAAAAAACCCCAAAAACTAGTGATGATTTTATTTGATGATTAAGTTTACTTATTTTGTGAATTAATAAACAGGAGAAAGAGCATAATAAAAGAGCACATTGAAAACTCTGTATGCTCCACAATCCTTCATGGTGCAAGAACACTGCAGAATTCAGTAGTTCCATAACTGCAGAAAAGTAGAGAGAGAGAGATTAATATATGAGCTTTGGGCAAAGCATTAACTAAGCACATTTCTTGTGAAAATTAATGTCTCAGGTGCTAAGACCTTGAAAAGCAGCTCTGTTTTGCAGAAGGGGATGTTGAAACGCAATTGAAAAGTTTTATCAGGTTGCTGGGTAGTCCTGGGTGAAGCAGGGTAAAAAGTAGACATTTCAAACATGTGCTCACACTACTATGTCAGTCTGCAGGTATCAATTGCTCTAGCATCACTACACCATTATTAATTTGATTTTCCTTTCTCATCCACCAAAGTAGTAAATAAAAAAAAAAAACACCTTTTTTTTAAAAATGTGGATGTGTGGATTGAATGCTAATTTTAAATTGTAGAAGAATGTGTTTAAAGGTTGTTGGTTTGGGTTTTTTTTTAATGAACTTTAAATTGCAAATATTTTAAAAATGTATTCATTATCTTACTTGTAGATTGGTTTATTGTTACCTGCTTGACATTTCTGACATGCTTTTAGGGGATCCTTCTTTTCCTTTACCATGTTTTAGTACAGAAAGGGACAGCAAAGGATGAGTGTGGATTTCTATTGAGTAAAGATAACTTTAATGATATTGTAGTGTTCAATTACCAGAAAATGTGTGAAAGCCACCCTCAGTATGTCTGCTAATCCTCTTAGTCAGACTTTGCATATATCAGGGAGGGACTTAATATTTAATTATGCTCTAGGTGCTATAAGTAGTGGTCCTACAAATCAGTGTACTGCTGGGAAACAGGCCAGCTCTTACAAAATTAAAAATATACTTTATGGAAGCAGCTACCTATCAAACAGTCAGAAACCCAGCAATTTCCAGTTCTCTAATGATTAGTTAACAAAATTAAAAATTCAGGGGTCCTCGTTTTTCAAAGGCTTGAGAGTCTTTAATTCACATTTCAGTAGCATCCCACGCCGCTGAAGGGAGGAGGCATGCATTGTTTTAATCCCCTTGATGAATTTTATCTGAGCTTTTCAGGTTCTGTAATTTTCTAGTTAACTGGTGCATGAAAAATACGGGTCAAGATACTGAGTTCTTTAACTAAAAAAAAAATAAAAATGAGGGGCGGGGGGAGAAGAACATGGTTTTAGAATGTTCATACCAAATTTTAACTTTATCCATCTGAGATGGGAAATCCATTTGTTTTCATTTAAAATACAGAATGTAATGACTCACAGCACTGTCTTAACATATGTAAGGTATCAACTAACAGGTTATGTGTGTGTATATAGTCATTTAGTTCAGTGACCAGTTACAAGGCATAAATTACAATAATAAGAGTTAGGGTTTTGCTTCATGAAATTATAATGGCACTAACAAAACTTCTGTAGGTAAACCAAGGGTTAGTTTAAGATAAGAAGTTAATAACTGTAAAGATGCTATAAGACACACCTTGTCTTAAGAGGATTGTTTAAATATTATGCAAATGCAAAATGTAATTACTGTTTGCATGCCACGTAAATGCAAATAGCTTTGTCATTTGGGGAAGGTAATCTCATTTAGCTTTTCCCCTCATATTGTTACATTATGCTTTTTTCATGATCTTGGGATATACAGAGTTGCTGAGAGCTAAGCATTTTTGAAAATCATAAGGAATACGTAATGCAAATTTGAGATCGTAAGTTTAGGCACCTTTCTTATCTGTTTTGTGTTGTTTTGTTTTTCCTAATTTTAGCTTTGAAAAATTGCCAGATTAATTTGTGTTGTGTGTGTACCCCACACATTTGCCATTCCTTCATATAGGCAATTTATGTAAGCCATATACAAGTTTTATGTGTCTCAGCAACCTTAATGTCTGTCTTAACATTGTGGCTGTCTGAGAACTTGTGTATGGCTATTAAGCCTCCATTGCTCTTTTGTTCCTCTTCCCCCCATATATGAAAAATGTGTTTATGTTTACATGAAGCTTCTTCATATGACTTCATTAACAAAGGTCTCAGTGGGAATAAGTCAATGTCCACTGATTTTCAGCATTTTCCTATTGCCTCTACTTGTGTCAGAAAGATTTAAACACGAGGATTTGGAATGCACAGTGAAAGTTAAGAATTCCCAAGTCATTTTGCTGAAGTCATTTATCAGGTAACAATGACCTGCATTTGGCT